AGCTCCTCGTAAAACTAAAATAATCATTTATTTTAAACCGAATTAAAGAAAATCTACCAAACTTCTATAGATCATATGAAGAATGAAAATCAAGAAACAAAATACTTATAAAAATCTTAAACCCACAACACTGTCGGTAAAAGAAATGGCATATATACATAACACCCTCGATAAAACTACATTTAGTACCGAACATGTTTTGTTTTCACTATTCAATCTTCAACGTTAATTAAAAAGGTCTTGTCAAAACAATACGGCCCCTACGACACAATGCGTGGAATTTGGTGAATCTAACGAGTGAAAACATTACAGAACCTTTTATAATCTGTTTAATTCGTCTATTTTCAATAAATAAAAATGGTGTGAAAGAGTGAATGTGGATTGTGGAAGAAGATAATTCTGGGACACTTCCAAAAGAAGAAGACTGTAGAAAGTGTATAGTCTGAAACATTATTATTATTAATTATTCAAAGATTGCTTGACTTACACGCATACTTCTCAGTTTTACTCCATTTCTTACTTCGAGAAGGAAAGGTCTATTGAGGTATGTGTCAGGTTTCAGACTTGTTTTTTCTTCTTGGTTTGAAAATGAAAATACATATATATTATTTTGTCAGATCAATTTTCTTACCTACTCTATTTCTTATTCAACATTTTTTAATCTGTTGAAAAACCATTCTCCATTTTACAAACACGTTATTTATCTTGTCTTTTTCTTCTTGTGTTTATTGGAGTTAGTTGTTTGGCTGTTTATCAGTTTGCTATTTGATTTTTCAACTCTCCCTTTCGTTTCATAAGTCAGATCAATCTATTATAATAATTCTTCTGCCATTTATTTGCACTTTTATGTTCTATCCTCGGAATAAAAGATTATAAGATCAAACGTTAAATCATAATTTAGAAACAAAATCAAACGTTAAATCATAATTTATAAACAAAATTGTTTTCTTTATTTAATAAAATATCTTAACTACTTAGCCATGCCATTTAGATAAATTAGTTCCGGATGCAAAATCTCATAAATTAATCTTTGGATTTAAAAAGTTTAGAAGATCACCACGATTAAAAAAAAATTATTTCGAAACAAGAAAATATATACACGGCTCATTATATACACTAATGAATTAGTTATGTATCGGATGCAAAACCTCGTAAGATAAATTAGTTGCATACCCCGGATACCATATATATGGTAAGATTAATAAAATCACCACGGTTAGAAAAAGAAAACAAATTATTTAGAAACAGGAAAATATATAATTAGCTGATTACATACACTGATTTATCAAATCCATTATGGTGAATACAGATTCCCCGCCCTCCCCTCCCTCCAAAAAAAAGCTCATAAAAGGCTAGTAACTATCCGTCCTTTTAATAACACACTAGATTTTACCCGAGCAATCGTGCAAATATTTTTTTCATATTGAATTGAGGAATTTGTAAACTATATTGGTTACGTATTTACATTTTGCATAGTAAAACAGTTAAATTGATATCTTGGATACGTAACTTGTAATTTGATAATACTACACAAAACAAAAAAAAATCAAGTGTTTTTGTTTGTAGAATATATTCATTTTTAATATATGGCATTTTAGAGAATTATTTTGACTTCAACTTAAATGACATTTTCAATTTTTAATGCAAGTTTATTTATTTTTTATATAATTTTTTATATTCTTGCGTTAGCGTTTTTATTTATTGAATTATGATTAGGTGAATATTTAATGATGTTTTAGTTAGATAAAATAAAAAATAAATTTTTTTCTTTAATTTTTCTGAACAAATCAAATTTTAAAATAAGAAAAATGAAAATAGTGTAGTTTAATTGATTATATACTAGTACGTCTATATTTGCAATTACATTTGTTTCACAGAAAATTATTTTATATTTTTCTGTATTATATAGATTACAATTTATTTATATGTCAGATTACTTTAATTTAGACGTAACGTTTGAACAACATTCTAATGATATTAAATATATATTATTAAATTTATTTATATAACTATAAATGAATTCTATTATATGTTTTAGAATGGCATTAAGTTGATAATAAATGTTAATAATATTAAAAAACAATCACATATTGTGATATCTTTTTGACATCATCAAAATAATAATATTAATCATATGTTATGAATTAATAGATTAAAATATCAAATAGATTAAGAATAATAATAATAATATTAAGATTAATAATAATAATATTAAGATTAATAATAATAATATTATTAACATTAATACTTTATTAATAATATTAAAATATAATTTTTTTAGAAATCAGTTGATTTATTTAATTTATTGGTTTTGAATACATATTTTTTTTATTTTAGCATAGTAAACTAATTCAAGATTCTCCTTAAAAATATTATATTGTTGGTTTATTAAGATATCAATCAGAAATATTTTAGATTTTATTTATTATGAAAACTAAATGATAAAATAATGTGATGTGATGTGATGATTATTTAAAAGATGGTTCAAAATGAAATACCACACATAAAAAAAGTCATGATATTTTTTTAATATATAAGATAAGTATATGTCAATTTAATGGTAAATGGAATAATATGTTTTATTTCCAGTTTTATCAAAACTTTTTTAAAAGGCGAAATTTGATAGAGGTGCTTGTCTTGTAAAGTCCCCCATTGTTTTGAGGGTTGCACAAAAGAATGTCCCTCGTAATCATGAAATGAGCTGTGTTACACATCACTCTCGTAATCCTCTCTACCTTCTTTTTCTTTAATCACATACGTCCCTTCAAGTATTTGCTTTTCTACTCCATTAGTACTATTCACTTTTTCCTCCCTATCTTTTATTCATACAACAATAAATCAGGCATCATTATTTCAGGTAACTCTTCCGTAAGTGTGTAAATGTGTAATAACATGAACTAGATCTCGATCCGCACAACCGTGCGGGTATTTTAATACGACAATATTTGAAAATATATAATTCTCATTCCCTTTCAAATTAGATGATGTTTTAAAAGATTTATTTTGTTTCAAAATATAAGATGTTTTGAAATTTTATGATATAGTTTAAGGTTTTAAGGTTACTTTTAACTTTATTGAAAAATGTTTAACCAATAATTTACTTGTTTTTTTTAATAATTGCTTGAATGAGTTTAAAATTATATCTGTAAAAATACTGTTGTAAAAGAATGTAATTTTTTTTTAATCTTTGTGCAATGATCCAAAACATCATATATTAAAAAAACAGAGGGAGTAAAATTTATCAATAAATATATATAGTATTTATGTGGCTTATAATATTATTAATATAAAATTTATAAATTTTTATTTCATAACAATTTTTAAAACCATTATTATGTAACATTACTAATTTATATATTTTTTATTTCTAATTTTGCAATATATATATATATATATATATATATATATATATATATATATAAAAGTAAATTAAGTTTGACCTACATAATACATAAACATAATTTTGGGATATTGTTAAAAGTATTTTACATAACTTTGATTGTTTGTTTTGTAAACAAAAATGAATTAGAATTTTAATTATATTTTATGATAATTAAAATTTTAATCAAATATTTTTTAAAACTATATCTTGAAAAGATGCTAAAAGATTTTTTAAAAGATTTTGTTAGAATTTTCTTAAAACTATTTATTTGTATTTCAAATAAAAACTAAAGATATGAAAAGATATTATAATGATGTTATATAAAATTTTATAAAATTTCTAAGAATGATCCAAACTAAAAAATCACACAGGAAGTGAGTCATGACTTCTCTTTTAATATAATAGATAAGAAAAAAGCTGTGTGATGATAATCAATGTTTGTTGTTGAGTCTCTCTCAACGAACAACTACTAAATAACATGAAAAAGTTATATGCTTTTGATGGCTAGCTTTAGGTGTCTAAATCTTGTGGGTTTTCAATATTAGAATTTACAAGGAGTTCTTTTTTAAACGAAAGAAATTACAAAGAGTTGGTGAAAATGAGTTATGGAGTGGTACTAAGATGAGTAAAGATCAAACTGGAGTATTATTAGATAAGTGAAAAAAATCAGAATATAATGTGATTGATGAAGAATGACCCCACAATTAGAGGGAAACAAAGTGGAGATGCGAAAGCAATAAAGGGAAAAGAGAGGACAATGAGGTGAGGATAAGCCATAACCCTCCATTCATCTCTTCTCTCCACGTTCACATTCTTATCCTCCTTTGATTATCAATCATGTTTCTTTCTCTTCAAGCGACAATTATTGTTTTATAACAACTCTTATTGTTTCAAATTCAATGCATCATCACTTTCTAGCAAATGATATGTTTTAATATAAAGTTTTCACATTTTAATCCAGTTGTCAAAGTAACTTAATTTGTGCATGGTTCTTCGTGATACTACTACAAAAGCAGGAAATACATAATAGAAGACATGATTAAAAGATCAAAATAATAATTTTATTGATCAAGAGAGTTGGAACTACAACGTGTTAGTTAAGAAACTCTATTTCTAGCTGTCTAATTCTATAGTCAAGGTATTGAATAGTCGATCCAATGTTCTAAGATTCGGGGGTTCCTTTTTAAATTCGTAGTTAGTCGAGGATTGGGTTAGATCCTTAGATTTTCCCTTATTAGAAATTTACATTTTATCCAGAGATAGAAGGAAAAATCGTCTAGGCAAGAGAAAAAAACTGGCATACTGCCTACTAAAGAAGAATGATTTTGTGGGTTAAATACCCTGTAACCTCAACATCGATCATGATTTTCCACATTATATTTAGATTGTATTAAAATATACTTTTTATGTTTTACGAAGAATATCATTTTGACATTTTTATTGTTACACAAAGAATATTTGCAATACAATTTCTATTTATTTTATTATTAATATTAATTACAACATGATGTGAATTTATAGATAATTTTATTTATCTCAAACACTATTGGTTTACCAAATATAATTATTAAAACATAAATTATTTTTAAACATAAATTTCAATTATTTCTTTAATTTGTGTGAAATTTTCAAAATAGCACTATTTGTGAAACAGAAAAAACAACATTTTATGTAAAGGCCATACATCTTTACTTTATTTTTTATTCAACCTGCAATTACAAATATACGAAAGATAAGAAAAAGAGGTGGAAGAAGATAGAAGAAGGGATGATATATACTGTCATCCTCAAGCAAATTCTTCAGACCACTCGTGTAACGTAGGAGTCTTGACGCCGATATTCTTCATGTCCATAATATTCGCTGTTCCAAAACATGTTACGACAATGTTATCATAAGTTCTACCTTTTTCCAAAGAACAATACAAAATATAATGATTCTCTGATAAGTAAGGTCTTTGTTTGTTTTGTCATTTGCTACAAACATAGTGACATCCATCATTCTAATTCTGTATGATTCTAAAAGATGAATTTTGGTATGAATAAAACACCACCAACAATGAAAAAGATGTGGTTATAGTTACCAGAATGAATCTCTGGTGTTGCAGCAGCTGTGGCATCCACAATAACAGTAACATCTGGATAGTCCAGCTCCACTGCATCAAATACCGTTTGCCTGATACAATTAGGAGTTTGAACACCTGAAGAAAAACACAAAGAGAGTAAAGAAGAAGCATTGATGGGAATCTTATTAAGCTCAAAAGCATTACTCACCAGCGATGACTAACTTGGTAACCCCTGAAGTTTGAAGGAAGGAATGAAGATGTGTGCCGAAGAACGCGCTGAAACGAGTTTTCACTATCTTATAGTCTTCTTCTTCTCTGATGTTCAGTCCATCTACTAGCTTTGCACCTATGGTTCCTTTAACGGTTGGGCCAACTTTCTCAGAACTGTAGTGATGACGCCTGAATATCTCAACATCTCTTCCTTTAGGATCGTGTTCTCTCACAACCTATGACAACAAACACCAAATCGACATGGTTCCCTTTTCATGATTCGTCAGTTTCTAGCAATTTGAGCATACAACTTAACCTTTTCAACACTCAAAGCCTGAAACATTTCTCCTAGATTACTATACTAGAGATCTCAGTGACGTTCTGAATTAGACAAAACCAGAAAGTAGAAACTAAGAAGCTTTTCACCCATGCGTTGACCGCTATTAATTTCTACAGAAATGAATTATAAAATCTCAAGAACCTTCCCACACAACAAGTCCTTGCCATCAAAAAGAGCAAGCAAGAGATTAATGGAGAAGATACCCAAACCACGAGAATGCCACGCTGCCGCGCGAGTTCGACAACTCTGATAACATTAGGAACTATGGCTTTTCCGCCTTTCACTTGCATCACAGAACCTTCCTCTATGAAATCATTCTGCTCACAACCAACAGAACAATTCAATACTTCAAGAAACACACATACACAGAATCTACACTGACTACAACACATAGAGAGACCTGCATATCGATAACGAGTAGAGCCGTGTTCATCCATCTCTCTGCCATGGTTCCCACAAAGACGATGATAAGCTTTACAAAAAACAAAAATGACACTCTCCAAGTCTTTATTCCGGTTTACTCAACATTCTACCGGTTAAAGTTGTTGCTCCAAACCGGTTTAGAGTAAACAGAAAAAAACTTTTCTTGCCTATTTTAAATTTAAACCAACTGAAGTATCGTAACAAATTAACAACAGTGACCAAGAAACTTTTACATGAAAACCAGAGTGGAAAAGACTCCTGTACTAACAAACTTTAGTTCAACTTGTGACTTGTAAAAGAAAAGCTAAGGTATAGAAGACAAACAAAAGGAGACGCTCTTCTTTTGCAGGAATCACACAATCTCTATGACCCGGGTTTGGATATCTGAAGGTAAACCATTTGGGTATAGCCATTGAACACCGACTTATCCAGCCGACCTAAACCGATTCTTTGGAACAGACGGTGTCTTCCATCTGCTACAATCGGTGGAGTCGAACGAGCAGGGTCGTATCGTGACTGATGCGTCAATGAAGGTCCTGCAACCGGAGGTAACTCCCAGTAGACATCAAGAATCGATTCAACGTATCTGCTGTTTTGAAAATGCTGATTGTATGAGATTTGTGTGTTGGTGTGGTTAAAGTCATCTCTCATTTCTCCTCGCACTCCCCACCATGTTTCGCCTGGTCCACAGAGTTCCTCTGTATCAACTGCTTTCTCCCAGAACTTCTTCCTGTTTGATCTAATCCTGGCTTCGTCGCTGTCTTTGAAACAGCTGTGGCCGCCTCCTGGAGAGAAAAACAAATGAATTATATAAGAAAAAATACAAACTTGTGTATGTAAATGTGTGAACTTTACAGAACCCACCTTTTATATATGACTGATCACATATCTGCCTAAGGGAATAGTGATCCCCTGTTCCTGTATCGTAGTTATCCTCGAATATGAGATGTTGGAAACCTGCCTTCAGAGCCTGCTTTATCCTACTCTTGGTGGTATATATCAGATCAATCAGTAAATCCTTTGCTTATGCAATAAGGGCAAATGAAGAAGAAATGAAAAACGAAAAACAACCTTTTGAGTTCATTCTGATGATCATCGAAGAAGACAAGAACACGGTTGAGATCTTTAACTCCATGTTTCTTCAACACATTCTTCCAATCCACACTTCCAAAATCAACAAAATCTTTGCCTGCAAAGTACGTGCAGTTTCCATCCACATAAGCAGGTCCCTTCTTCAAGTACTTCTCCGGGTGTCTTGGCGTCAGTGAGAGAATCGGTGTATCTGGCATCGCTTGTCGCATAACCCAAGTGGAATGCCCCTTAAATGCACCACTCTCGATCATCAGCTCTGGCTTGAGCCAACGTGCCATGAACCATAGCCCAAAGCTGTGATCAAAACCCATCCCATGCATGTTGTTCTTTATAGGTCGTGTTTCGTATATAGGCACAAACTCTTCAACAGCCTTGAGTAAATCCTTGGAGGTCCACTCCACTTCTTTTCCATGTTTCGATCTGCCTTTTGCCAAGGAAAAGATTTAAATACGTCCATACCATAAAACAAGCTTCAAGTCATTTAATAAGAAAACATAGATCCAAAGTCCTCTTCCACTAAATCAACAGCGAGATTGAGAATAACAACATAGCTATCTCACAATATACAAACTCATCGTTAAAAACTATACTAAGAGTAGTAAAATGGTTCTTTCTCTACTAGTTCCACTACACAATCAATATCTCACAATATACAAACTCGTCGTTAAAAACTATACTAAGAGTAGTAAATGGTTCTTTCCCCACTAGTTCCACTACACAATCAATATCTCACAATATACAAACTCGTCGTTAAAAACTATACCAAGAGTAGTAAATGGTTCTTTCTCTACTAGTTCCACTACACAACCCTTGATTCTGTAACTAATACAGGCTTCCAATAGCACCCTTAAAGTCCTCTTCCACTAAAGCAACAGGAAAATCGAGAAGAACAACATAGCTATCTCACAACATAGTTAGTTAATTATTCTTTCTCTACTAGTTCCCCTACACAATCCATGATTCAGTAACTGACACAATCTTTCCATGACAATCACAACTACCTCAGAAATCAAAACAATCAATGGCTCTTAAGCACTGTTAAATTCGGGGTTGTTATGACTTCCAACTTAAAACCAATTGACGATAAATGAATCGGCTCTAACCACTTATTTATTAGTTTAATTATATCTCCAACATCTGCCAATGTATTCATTAAAACAGCCACCAAATCAAATTCATATTACTTAACACTATGAATCAAAGTAGTATCCAAGATCACATGCTATCTAAGCAAGATCAAATCTCTCCAATGCATTATCCACACTGAAACACTACAGATCTGAAGATGCTTACACCAAGGAACACCTAGGGCTCCAAAATCCGATTCGAGCCCATCCAAACCGAAGAACCCGATCCGAGCGGCGGGATCGAAGCGAGAGACGCAGACGAAGCTGCTAGAGTGGAAGGCCAAGGAGGTGAGGAAGAGAAGGACGAGGAAGAGGAGAGCGACGATGAGGCAAGGGAGCCACTGATGCCCGATCCGGGAGACGAAATTGGAGGCGAGGAGGTAGATGTGAGGGCGCTTGGTCTTGGATTCGTCGGTGCCGGAGACGACGGAGTCGGAGAGATCGGCGTCGGAGTGGGGACGGCGAGAGGAGAGAGCGCGGTCGAGCATGGTGGTGGGAGTTTTGGGGGACTGTGATGAGTGCCACAGTGATTGCCCAGTGTTGCTGCTCATCCCTGCTCTTTCCATTTTTTATTTTTTTTAATTTACCTAATCGGAAGTTAAATGTTGAAAAAAAGTTTACACTCGTAAGTATTTATAGTGACCGTGCTCCGTCTCCGATCCGAGTAATTAACGATGAACCAAAAGAAAACTTTATACCGAACCGATTTTGAGTTTTATAGGTTGGGGCAGAACCGGATTTAAACGGGGCACTTAGAGCATCTCCAATGTAAAACTCCATTTTTTCCTCTAAAATGGAGTAAAAGAGTATATGTAGTAAAAATGCTCCAACCCCACTCCATTTTCCACTCCATAATGGAGTGATGAACAAACAAAAAATAGATTATTCCATTTATGGAGTAAACTCTATTATGGAGTAGAATATGGAGTAGGGTTTGAGTGTTTTCTACTCCATATTCTCTTTTACTCTATTTTAGAGTAAAAAATGGAGTTGGGTTGGAGATGCCCTTAACATTCTTTTTTCATTAAACACTAGTGGTGGGCGTTCGGGTAGCCGTTCGGGTTCGGGTCGGGTATTTCGGGTTTTCGGCTATTTCGGTATTGGGGTTTAGAATCCGTTCGGGTATTTTTACATATCGAGTCGGGTTCGGATATTTTTAGTTCGGGTTCGGTTATTTCGGGTCGGGTTCAGATATTTAGATTTTGAAAGAAAAATTTTAAATTCTTAATTACTTAAGTTTCATGTATTTAAAATTTAACTATTAACTTAACTGTTTTTTTAAATGTTTAATAAGTTAGACGATTAATAAGTTTGAAAAAAAAATTATTGAAAATAAAAATCATTATTTTGGTTATTATTTTCAAATTTTGGATGCAAATTTTGTTTAAAGTATGAAATAAGAAGTTTAACATGCATTTTAAATGAGTAACAAATCAATTTTTTTACAATTATATGTATATTATCTTATATTAAATTATATATAACATTAATATAAATAATTTTAATAAAATGAGACAAAATAAACTAGGAATAAATAGGTATATATACATATGTTCGGTTATCTTCGAATACCGTTGGGGTTCGGGTATTACCCGTTCGGGTTCGGATATCCAAAGTCTCCTAACTTAATACCCGTTCGGATATTTTGCTACTTCGATTCAGATTTCGGTTCGGATATTTCGGGTCGGGTTCAGGTACGAGTTCGGGTATCGGATAAAGTGCCCACCCCTATTAAACACTGTCATTGATTAACCTTAGTTACTTAAAGAAAATGAAAAAAAATAAATAGGGCACGTGCCCCGTACGTCTCTTACTGTATCCTCCGAACTGGGTTTCAGGATGTCAGGGACATCAAATTGGTTTGACTTTATGTGATTAATAATCATACTTCGCTGGACATATATTATATTTGGTATTAGTGTGCAAGGGAAAATTTTAATTTTAGTGTGTGTACCCAACTGAAACCGGCGGTTTGCATGTTTGGCTCTTTTAACTGGACTGGTCACTATTTGGACTTCTATATTCGTAGAAGTATTAAGTTACTTTATTTGCCATGGTAATACGTTTTATCCGTGTAATGCAACACAAATCTGATGGTCAAAAATCTATATTCTCATAAGATAATATGATGCTTATTTGGTTCAAATAGTTTTCTTAAATTGATTGGGTTTTACCACAAAAATAAATGGGCTTAGTTGCTCTTTTCATCATCGTATGAAAAAAAGAATATTAGGCTCGGATTTTATATATCTTATCTTATATAATAAAGTTGGCTTTTTTCACTCCTTGGAGGGAAAAATGTCATGTGTCACATTCTTTTAATGATTTTTTATATTTAAAAAATTTTAGTTTACTTAATGAACCAATAATAATCTTATATAATAAAGTTGGCTTTCTTCACTCCTTGGGGGGAAAAATGCCATGTGTCACATTCTTTTAATGATTTTTTATATTTAAAAAATTTTAGTTTACTTAATGAACCAATAATAAATGCTAATAAAGTTGGCTTTTTCCACTCCTTCGGTGGAAAAATGTCATGTGTCACCTTCTTTTAATGATTTTTTATATTTAACAAATTTTAGTTTACTTAATGAACGAATAAATGCTAATAAAAATTTAAACATTGATTAAAACAAATTTTCTATTTCATTATTATTTTTTAGTTCTCTATTTTAATGGAAATTTACTAATAATTTTAGTTTACTTAATGAACCAACAAAAGCTAATAAAAATAAAACATGGATTAAAAAAAATTTCTATTTCATTATTATTTTTTTAGTTTTCTATTTTAACGAAAATTTACAAATAATTTTAAAATATATTTTTATTTATGAACAAATGATATATATAAGTTAATGTGATTTTTTTACAATGTCTTATATTTAGTTTATTTTTTATTAATGTTATATATGCATTTATATTGTAATGGTGATATATGATTTATTGATTATAAAATATTTCAAAAGTTTTTCTAAAATAAATATTTATACATCTCTTATATGATAAAGTAGAATTTTTTCTCTCCATAGAGGCAAAAGATGATACTTGTCATTCTATCATTTGATCAAAGTGTTTTAGGTCTAATTATAAAAATCTTTTATTTTATTTAAATTTTTATTAATTTTTAAAAATGATATGATTTTCAATAAATATTTTTAGTCCAGCAACTATAAAAATTTTTTTTTCTCACTTTCAACCTATTCTTCAAGATGGATTGACAACTTTCATATCTCTAAATATGAAATATCTAAATAAATATCTTTGATTCTTAAATATATTTGCTCGATTTTAAAATCAATATCCTTAATTCTTAATTCTATTTTCATTTTGAAATCAATATCCTTGATTTCCAAAACATTTCCGCAAAATGAGAGTTTAAAAGAAAAGAAAAAGCTCCAACAAGGTCAAACCAAAACGAAGAAAAACTGAATTACACAACAATTCTGAAACCGGAATTAAAAAAAAAAAATTAAAAGACAATTAAAATCATTTTGAAATCAATATCCTTGATTCTTAAATCTATTTGCTCGATTTTGAAATCATATAATTTATTAAGATTTGGATATCCTTGATTTCCGGAAAAAACTATTTTCATTTTGAAATCAATATCTTTGATTCTTAAATCTATTTGCTCGATTTTAAATCATTTGATTTATCAAAGATTTCTAAATCCAATTGTTTTTCTAAATACATTAAAATAGTCGAATCAATAACCCCCACTATATGTTATCACATGTTTACTATAATTATTCAAGAATCAAAATTGTATTAATTATCAAAATGTCATGTAAGCATCTGTAATGCGTGTAAGCTTACAAAAAGTTCAGTATATAATTTTTTAAAATTATCAAGTATTATAGACTCAGTGTAGTAGCGTTATTGTAGTTATGAATGATTATATTACAAAATTTAGTATACACTGCTTTAATATACGATTGTTGGCAAAAATAAATATATAATTATTTTTTTCAATTTTTTTTTTTAAAATTTTAAACAAAGCTAATAAATATAAAGTTATATAAATTTGAATTGTCTGGTATGATATTTTATAGTTATTTGTTCAGTAAATTGGAGAAAAATATTACCCGCTTCAACATCAAAAACAAAATTTTATTAAAAAATACTATAATACATATTGTCAGAAATTTGAAGAATAAACAATTACCTATACAAAAACATTATTAAATACATCCGTTTGTCAAAAAGTAATTCATCAAACAATAACCAAACAATCTCATCTAGACATTACAGTTTTTGATCAAATATCATGTAAATTTATTTAAAATCTTAGCATAATTAAAACATAAACATATAACATCTACTGACAATATTAGTTTGTTTACAATTTAATAATTTAAACTTCATTTTATGACTTATATTTTTAAAAATTGATATATATATATAATATATATTCAAAATTAATATAATAAATTAAATTAAACTAAAATTTATATAAGAAAACCCGGGCGTAGCCCGGGAAAACCACTAGTCTTATATAATAAAGTTGGCTTTTTCACTCCTTGGGGGGAAAAATGCCATGTGTCACAATCTTTTAATGATTTTTTATATTTAAAAAATGTTAGTTTACTTAATGAACCAATAATAAATGCTAATAAAGTTGGCTTTTTCCACTCCTTCGGTGGAAAAATGTCATGTGTCACCTTCTTTTAATGATTTTTTATATTTTTTATATTTAACAAATTTTAGTTTACTTAATGAACGAATAAATGCTAATAAAAATTTAAACATTGATTAAAACAAATTTTCTATTTCATTATNGGCTTTTTCCACTCCTTCGGTGGAAAAATGTCATGTGTCACCTTCTTTTAATGATTTTTTATATTTTTTATATTTAACAAATTTTAGTTTACTTAATGAACGAATAAATGCTAATAAAAATTTAAACATTGATTAAAACAAATTTTCTATTTCATTATTATTTTTTAGTTCTCTATTTTAATGGAAATTTACTAATAATTTTAGTTTACTTAATGAACCAACAAAAGCTAATAAAAATAAAACATGGATAAAAAAAATTTTCTATTTCATTATTATTTTTTTAGTTTTCTATTTTAACGAAAATTTACAAATAATTGTAAAATATATTTTTATTTATGAACAAATGATATATATAAGTTAATGTGATTTTTTTACAATGTCTTATATTTAGTTTATTTTTTATTAATGTTATATATGCATTTATATTGTAATGGTGATATATGATTTATTGATTATAAAATATTTCAAAAGTTTTTCTAAAATAAATATTTATACATCTCTTATATGATAAAGTAGAATTTTTTCTCTCCATAGAGGCAAAAGATGATACTTGTCATTCTATCATTTGATCAAAGTGTTTTAGGTCTAATTATAAAAATCTTTTATTTTATTTAAATTTTTATTAATTTTTAAAAATGATATGATTTTCAATAAATATTTTTAGTCCAGCAACTATAAAAAAAATTTTTTCTCACTTTCAACCTATTCTTCAAGATGGATTGACAACTTTCATATCTCTAAATATGTAATATCTAAATAAATATCTTTGATTCTTAAATATATTTTCTCGATTTTAAAATCAATATCCTTAATTCTTAATTCTATTTTCATTTTGAAATCAATATCCTTGATTTCCAAAACATTTCCGCAAAATGAGAGTTTAAAAGAAAAGAAAAAGCTCCAACAAGGTCAAACCAAAACGAAGAAAAACTGAATTACACAACAATTCTGAAACCGGAATTAAAAAAAAAATAAAAGACAATTAAAATCATTTTGAAATCAATATCCTTGATTCTTAAATCTATTTGCTCGATTTTGAAATCATATAATTTATTAAGATTTGGATATCCTTGATTTCCGGAAAAAAAAACTATTTTCATTTTGAAATCAATATCTTTGATTCTTAAATCTATTTGCTCGATTTTAAATCATTTGATTTATCAAAGATTTCTAAATCCAAATGTTTTTCTAATTACATTAAAATAGTCGAATCAATAACCCCCACTACATGTTATCACATGTTTACTATAATTATTCAAGAATCAAAATTGTATTAATTATCAAAATGTCATGTAAGCATCTGTAATGCGTGTAAGCTTACAAAAAGTTCAGTATATAATTTTTTAAAATTATCAAGTATTATAGACTCAGTGTAGTAGCGTTATTGTAGTTATGAATGATTATATTACAAAATTTAGTATACACTGCTTTAATATACGATTGTTGGCAAAAATACATATATAATTATTTTTTTCAATTTTTTTTTAAAAAAATTTTAAACAAAGCTAATAAATATAAAGTTATATTAATTTGAATTGTCTGGTATGATATTTTATAGTTATTTGTTCAGTAAATTGGAAAAAATATTACCCGCTTCAACATCAAAAACAAAATTTTATTAAAAAATACTATAATACATATTGTCAGAAATTTGAAGAATAAAACAATTACCTATACAAAAACATTATTAAATACATCCGTTTGTCAAAAAGTAATTCATCAAACAATAACCAAACAATCTCATCTAGACATTACAGTTTTTGATCAAATATCATGTAAATTTATTTAAAATCTTAGCATAATTAAAACATAAACATATAACATCTACTGACAATATTAGTTTGTTTACAATTTAATAATTTAAACTTCATTTTATGACTTATATTTTTAAAAATTGATATATATATATATATAATATATTCAAAATTAATATAATAAATTAAATTAAACTAAAATTTATATAAGAAAACCCGGGCGTAGCCCGGGAAAACCACTAGTATATAATAAAGTAGGCTTCTCTCCCTTCTTATAAAGCCACCTCAGCATTTGTGAGAGAGGTTAAAAAAAAATATGTCAGCAATCATATATTTAAATTGTACCGACCAAATTTGTTCAATCATGTGTCTGTGTAAATTGGTTTTCTGTCTCGGTTTGATGTTTGGTGATGGGCTTCATTTTAGGGTGTCGTATAAGCAGCACCGTCTTAAAAAATTTCAAAACCTTAGGCGAAATATAAGATAAAGATTGTTTTATAAGGTTTTTCTTAACTTTTATTTATTATATTTTTGAAATTAAAGAAAAAAAAGTTGTGGTATTCAAAGAAAATATTAAAAAGGAATTTTGTGTGTAGATTAAATTTTGTTAATGAAAATTGAGAATGGTGCAGGGTAATTTTCTTTTTGTTCTTACTGTATTAAATTAATTTTAGTTTATCACTGATTTTTATTATAATTTTACTAACTAATTGATATTTAACAAGTAAAATAGACCCTTTTTAATTAGTAAAACTAGATGATAACCCGCGCGCATGCGCGGGGTGAAATTTTCATACTAATATTTATTCATTATATAGTTTTTAACATTTTGCAATACTACAGTATTTATCGATTATAAAATGATGAATACAAATGTTGGTATCTTAAATCATCATAGATCTGGACGTTTGAGACTTCGTCGGTTTTAATTTGATTGAAAACGTATTTTCAGATTTTGTAATATTCTCATAAATTCTATTTGAATTTTACTAATTATCGGATTAGATTTGATTTGATCTTCTCAATTAAGTTTGGATTGGATTGTAACCAATATCTGAAATCACCCCAAAAAATATTTGTTAAACATTAAAAGTTGACAAAAAAATAAAAATATTTAAACTATTAATAAATCTAATTTAAAAATAGTTAAATTATCTAAACAAACTAAAAGATATTAAAAAGAGAAGCAAATAAAACAAACTACAAAAATCTTTCGTATACCATAATTTGTATCTACTAACCTCAAACCTTTTCACTAAAATTTTTAAATTAACATATTTATAGTATGAATATCTACTAATGATATTTCATATTCGTACGATTTATGATAATTTGTATTTTGTTTGGAAAAAAAACAAAGTTAAACCATTTATCATAAAATTTTCAATGTGGGATTTTATTATTTTTAGTTATTTATGGTCGTTTAAAATAAAAATAAAAATATAACCTATAAGAAAAATTAAAATTTTTATTATATATTTAAATGTGATTGTTTAATTTATTTTAATAATTTAAAATTAAAAAAAGAGAGATACAAAAATATGTATTATTCATAATCACTAATTACATATATATGTTAATCATATTAGGTAATTCCGTAGTTTTTATTTAAGGAAATAAAATATATTGTTTTATACCTAGCAGAGTTGGTCCCTTAAAAGATGTCTATATATTATAGTCCTAAATGCAATAAATTAAATGTTACATTATTTTATTCCTAGCAAAATTGGTCCATTAAAAAATTAAAGCTGAGAAGCTCTGTGAGCTTGACACGTAAGCATGCTCTCCAAGGTTGTGCATTTATGAATGCTTCAGGATTAATATATAAGGGATAACACTCAAATTTTTTTGGACCTATGGACCCATGGCAATTGCCCATGATGCCATGGGTTAGAGCCGGCACTGCGTATAAGCCCAATTTTAATAGGCTTCCGTGGGTTTGTTGGGGTTGTCCTAGCGATCTGTTTTTTTTAGGTTTTCTTGGTTGGTTTTCTTCGTTTGCGATGCTCTTCCTCGTCTGTATCGCCGCCGGAACCACATCTGCACATTCGTAACTGCTGCCTTCTCCCAATGTCTTCTTTACTCCCACCTTTTGAGCCTTGACCACAGTTACGCCCATTATTTCATCTTTTCCACTCCCACATAATCTGTATGTAGGTTGAGTATAAATAACTCTGTATCCAAAGATGTCGATCTCATTCCAGACGCTCGCAAAGAACAGAACAATCAAACGAATCCCGCGATGGCAAGCTCCTACACACTCCTTGCTGATTTGAAGGCCGGACGGTGCTCGAACACGGCAGAGGTTCGACTTCTTCGGTTTTGGGAAGCGAGAAACACCAGCAGGAACAGCAGCCGTTCAGGCGAACTCATGAGTATTGACATCTATACTATTAAAGCTGAAGTACAAAAAGTTAGTGTTTGGAAACAGGAATAGGAATATTTAAAATTATGATGATTGGAAACAAGGATAACCTACAAATCTAATGGGCTTGATTATTAAACTAAAGATTACTGCGGCCCAAGGTACTATTATTATTGTTTTTGGGTTTTCTATCATGATATTACTTTATTTCTGAAAATTATTTATACATATATGTATTCATTTTAGTAATAGTTTATTTAGCCAAAAAACTTTATAAACTATTGCTAAAATGTTTACGGGTCACAACATTTTACGACGTCCCTGTTAAACAATATAATGACAAAATACAATGTTTAAATAATATATTAATACTTAGTAAAATTGTAACCATTAAATTGTAATTTTGAAATGTTATATATACCATAAAAATAAAGACCCGCCCAGTCGGGCGGGTTATGATCTAGTGTTGTTTATTGATGAGAATGTAAGGACACGGAAACCTCTAATTTCTCTATAATATTTTTCTCTTACAATGGTTTCTGTTTATGTAGATCTGTCAAAGGTTTAGACAAGGTTTTCGTTGAGACTATATATCGATTGTTTTTAAAGCTTTACGATACAGTGATCTGTGTTTTATTGCTTGAATGATTTGTTTCTTATTTATCTCGAAAGCTTTTCTTTATCGAAGATTCGAAATATTTATTTCCTATTCTCGATTATTCTTTTATTTGTGTGATTTATTGGTCTAAATTTACTGTTTTTTATAAAAAAATTCCAAATAGGCTACGATGATGTAAGCAACCATTGCTGCGGCTCGACAGCGGAGATTCCGGCAGTCCCTTAAAGAAGGTTCTGTCTACAGCCTAACCGGATTTGATGTGACTCGCAGCCTAATGAAGTTCTAGATTTTTGTTCTTCCTTAATTTTGCTGTGAAATTATTTGATATATATTTTTCCCTTGCACATATAGATTAGTTTTCTGACTGATGCTTGAAGATATAGAGCTCTGGTGTACTGACTTCTATTTATGCAAAAATCACTCTCTTACAAGGATGAGAGAAGGTAAGCAAAATATTTTTATCATTCAAATATTTTTAGTAGTTGAATCGTCAACTGTTTTCTTTTGCACTAAATGGTACGGGGCTTCAGAATTGTGTGGATCATTTTTCTCCAAGGTGGCCATGATTTTGCATTACATTATTTAATCAAATGTCTCTAAATTTTGATAGAGAAGAGTAGTTCTTGGTAATGATTTTTTTTTTTTTTTTTTTTTTTGCTTGTGTTCAGTATACACCGGCGATAGATATATGGAGCATAGGGTCCATCTTTGCAGAGCTCTTAACAGGAAAACCGCTTTTCCCTGGGAAAAATGTGGTTCATCAGTTGGATCTGATGACTTATATGTTGGGAACTCCATATGCTGAAGCCATTGGAAGGGTTAGTGTGTCTTTTTCACAGTGTTTCATTGTTTCTTTTCTTTGCTGAATTGCTTCATGTGATAGGTGAGGAAAAATAAAGCTCGAAGATACTTAAGAAGCATGAGGAAGAAGAAGCATATTTCTTTCTTACATAAGTTTTCGTATGGTGATCCTCTCGCTCTTTGTCTTCTAGAAAAGATGTTGTCTTTTGAACCCAAGGACCGGCCTACAGCTGAAGAGGTGATCCACACACTTCTTTTTGTGATGCATGTTTGGTTGTATTTTGACTTAAATAGTGTTCTTATGTCTTACTTTAGGCCCTTGCGGATCCTTACTTCAAGGGTTTAGCTAAAGTTGAAATAGAGAGTCCTCTGCTCAACATGTAACAAAGTTGGAATTTGAGTTTGAGAGACAAAGGATCACAAAAGAGGATGTGAGAGAGTGCACCTAAAAGAGTCTTTTGAGTACCATCCAAAGATGCTGAAAGAGTTTTTGGATGGATCAGAGCCTACTAGCTTTATGTACCCGAGGTGCTGCTGATCCGGCTTCATAACTTACTTGTCCATGATCTTATTCAGATGTGAATTATTTATTCATTCTGAAGGTGCGGTGGAACATTTCAAGAAACAGTTTGCTTACCTCGAGGAACACTTCTACAGGAACGGTACTACTCATACTCCCCCGGAGAGGCACCAGCACGCATCATTACCTAGGGTAATGATCAAACATTTGATGATTTGGGATTCTGTGGAAACATTACATTGAGTTCTCTGTTCTTATGTTTTTTTGCAGGGCTTGCGTTTTGTACTCTGATAACAAGAATGGAGCGGGGGGACAACAGAGTTCAGTGCAAGTCGCTGATGGACTTTCCAAGTGTAGCATCAGAGATGAGAGTGTGTGGCGCAGACAAGAATCAGCAGCGAATCCCTGTTAACGTCCCTCAAACAATCCAAGGTCTCACTCTCTCTCTTTCTCTCTGTTTATATAGTTATGATCCAGAACTTATGTATTTTTTTTTATATTACCAGGTTGTAAATGAAGCAAGTGCTGCAGTAGCTAGGTCTAGAAAAGTAGTTGGGTTAGTATTATTAGGCATGGTTGATCAGGATGCTATAACAACTGCGGGGCAGCCACAGTAGTTGAAGCTCTTGAAAAGCAGTAGCGTAGGATGGTTAGAAATCCGGTTGGCGTGGCTCAGCAGTACCCAAAGATCACTCAACCTTGCAAAAGCAGCAGCGGAGATGAAGACTGCGACACCGAAGATTCAAAAGGAGAACCCTCAATGTATATACCATAGAAAGTGTCTGCAGCACAAGATACTGATTGCAATGAATCGCTGGTACTAAGTTGTTGTTTTGGGTCTTGCAGAAGAAGCTTTACTACACGTCTAGCAGAAGAAGCTTTACTACACGTCTCAAATAGAGTTAAAAGAAAAGATGGGAATGATTTTTCTTACAGATCCTGTCATGTTATCTCTTCCACCATAGAAAAAATTTATATATAACTTTAAAATATAATTTTTTCACATTACTTTATTTCAATTTATTTAGCTCAAATGTGGAATAATTTATCATCGTGAGAAAGTTAATGATTTGTAATAATATTAAAATTTTATACTCTTAAAATAAAAAAGTAGTAGTTGTTCTTATTTTAGGTTTTCTTTAACTATATCAAAATGAAATTTAAATCAAAACTAAAAAATAGATATTAATACATTTTCTTAATTTTAATAATTTTGTATTCTCTAATTAACAGAAAATGTTACTGATACTTTCAACTCAAATCAACAAAATTTAAAATAAAATAAAACAGATTATATATATGATTTCAATTTAAAGTAAAAATTTCAAATATTAAATAAAAGTTATTATATATTTTAATATAAATTAATTTTGGTGCAAACCACCCGCCCGTAGGGCGGGTGTATATATTTTGTCTTTTGATAAATATAAGTAATTTTTTCCTCTAGCATGCAATATCATTTTGAAACGAATAATAAGCACACATCTAATGTTACATTTTTCTTTGTTTCATATAAATACACGATCAGTAATCACCGGAGTCTCCACATATTCACTGTGAAACCTAAACCCAGCTATAGAGTTACAAAACCGGATTTCTTGAAATGTATTGTCACCAGTTTTGTATAAGAACATCTTTTTCTTCACACTTTTTTCATCTTCCCTCTCAACATCGTCGTAATACCCAGTGAATGTCACGACAATATCGTTCCTTTTCGTAAACGACACGAACTCGATTTGATAATCGTAGAAACAGTCTTGCATGGTGATCAAATTCGACAATAAAAGGCTTAGAATCTTGTTCCATGACCCCGTTTTCTCCATAACCGAAATCCAAATCTCCTCGCATGGTCCATACTCTGTAATGCAAAGTTTTTGACCTGTAACGCCTAACCAAGAACACGTGACACCTTGATTGTAAACCGGGAGAGGTAATTTCCGGTATTCATCGGTTGAGAGATTAAAGCAAAGGATGAACCGGTCTACATTAGACCGGTACACAATCCAATAGAGAGATTGATCCAAGAATGTACCTATCCTCTCTCTGTAATACCAATCAGGACAAGGAATCCGTACACTATCTCTCCAAGAACCGGTTCTGAATTCGAAAACCTGCGCCGTGGAAGAATCAGACTGGTCGATAAACGTTACGATTCTGTAATCGTTGGAAACCGGATCATAACCGAAACCAAGAATGTTCGAATCTCGGTATATACCGGGATT